AATCCACATATATATTTCGATATATTTGTATATAATTTATTCTGTACGTTTTTGTTTTTATTTTGTTTTTTTTCCGCTTTGCATTTTTGTCACGCAACAAATCTGCGCTAAAGTGCAGATGTTTTTGGGGTGAATAATATATTTGCTTTTGACTTTTTGAACTCAATTCATGTTAAAATAAGCGGATTTACCTATGTGAATGTTCTGAGGCGTAATGTTTTATTTTATATGAGCTTCAGGCTTGTGCTTATTTTAAAAATAAATTTCATGGAAAATGCAAATGCTAATATTAACCTATAGTAATTTAATTCGAAGCAAAGCGGATCATGTATATATCTATACTAAGCTTTCCCATCAAAATATTATATAAATATGACTATTTGAAATAGCAAACTAATTTACCGCGCGGTGCATTAATTAAGTGCAGGGTAAATATTAAACAAATATTTGTGTGTTTAAATCTAATTAGAATTTTTTCTCTTTTCTTTCAGGTATGTCCAACATCAGAAAATATTGGGAAATCACGTAAAAAAACTTTGAGCCTAGGACCATTTGAATGCTGTTGGTAAATCGTGTATTAAATTTGTAATGGACTGGCTTAAATACATTTTAATAATAGTGATTTACAGCTGTGCTACAAATCGTGGTAGTGCGTTAGACTTTTTCGCTGTGCCATTAGTCTTGCCTTGCCTTCTTTCTTTTTTTGTAATTCAGTAAGCATTTTATGCGGAAATAGCTGGTAGAAAGGTATAGAATGGAAATCTTGACTGACTCATTTACTACGCCTTAATTTTTCAAATTAAAATGCTATACCGCATGTACAATACCATTGCCATTGGTCGCTTAATGAGCAAACTGCTGCCATATCGACATCGTCTGGAGTCTAATTTTAGACGCCTTTGGTCTCCGATTTCAGACTGCCAAGGGATCTGCAATAGGCTGTTGTTTGTGCTTCTGTTTTAACATAAGGTTGTGGGGTTGAGATGATTACACTGATATTTATTTTTATGGTCCGTTCATGATCACTTGCATGACATGTTGATTTTTAAACACAGAGTTAACAAAAGTCTTAGTATCTCCAATTTGTATATAAGTAAAGGCCAATACAAAATATTTAAAAGGCAGATGATTCAGATGAGAATATTATAAAACTAAAAAAGAGATTTCTTTTATTTTTCTTTTGACCAAAAAACGTTAATTCAATTTACAACCTATTTAGATTTGAGTAGCTCCGATTTTCTTCTTACAAATTTTTTTCTCTCTGTGTGGTGTACACAGTCAAAAACGCAGCATGGGGTTGTCTGCTTCAAAAGCAGCGGAAAGGCAGAAGAAAGAAAAGAAAATAAACAGATATAAAACAGGGAATAGGGGCTTGCAAAGAGGCTGAGGAAAATTTGTTAAAGAGGTAGCCGGAGCTGCAATGGACGAGAACACTCCATACACAATTACGACAAGTCCACAGCTCTCTCGGTACTCGGCACTTGGAATACCCCAACTCTTGGGTGATAATGCGAACGAACCCCAGAGAACTCAAAGAAACTCGGTGCTCGGGGATAAAAATAGACAGCAGAAAGGATATTGTAGCAAAGTGGAGGAACACTGAGGGCCAAAGAACCGAAAAGAAAAACGTAGCAGAAAATCAAAAAGAGAAAAACACGGGCAAAAGGGAAAATCTCTGCACTCGCCATGTGTTGCATTTCAAAGTGTGTGAGTTATGGGTATGGGGTAAATGGAATGGAGAACCCCGAGCCAAAGAAACACTGCCAGATGAGACGACAAATTGCCAGATGTCGAGGGGAGACTGTACTGTGAAGCTCTGCACCTGCGAATCAATCAAATCCCAGTGCAGCGAAACAAGCTAACTTCCACTAATTGGAGTCTGTATACAATGGAACTTGATAACGCGAGTTAAGATTGCAAGTCTTGATTTATGAGTGCTAGCTTTTAACAATGGTTTTAGACTTCATTAAAAACCTTTGGTTATTCAAATATTTAAATCTTTGTATGAGCTCTTTTAATAGCCTTTAACCATTTTAACCATTACCCAATATAATAATAACAACAATTAACCATCTTCCTTAAAAGATATCGGTTTTTAGTTCTATAACTAGGAATTTTTATTTCTTGTAATGAAAATGCAAACTTCGATTTCTAACAACGTTTTGCTCAAAAGAAAAAAAATTAATTTTAAAATTATTTCGTTCCCGATTCAATGGAGAAGAACAACATTTAACAATTTCGTTGAGTGCAATTTCATGTGCATCTAATAAATCAATGCTGAATTGGCTTCGATTACAAAAGGGTTAAAGGAGAGCAGAGTCCAAGTTCTTCCCGTATGCAAATATTTGTTGGGTAATTAAAATCCACTCCATGTCGACCCTTCTCGATATATTCCTGCATATTTTGCAAGTGCTCTTTTATTAAAAATTGGCAAAATATTTGCCATCGCATAATGTATGTGGAGGATTAGGGTTTCAAAAGCCACAAGGCTAAAGTTATAGACCAAGAATTCGCTTGGACCTGGATGGGAAAATGTAATTCAAAGGCCAGGATATGCATTACATTTTTAATTGCTTTCGAGAAGATAGTTTGCTGTGGGGAAAAAGGATGCTGATGATGGATATTGCTTTCCAATTAGATTGGATCAGACGAAGCATGCATAGTTTGCTAATTTTGTAATTTAGTGAAGCATTTCTTAGATGAGTACAAAACTCAAACCAACTAGGACGGTAAAATTCATAGTTAGGAACAAAATAATAAACTGCACTTTAAGTGAAGTTTTTTTATTCTCCTATTTCTTTTATTGGTTATATCTCCTCTAAAGTTTTGCCTGAAACTTTATGCTTCATTTATTTAGTTAGACCGTAACCCAAATCTCAGTCTAAACTACACGTTTTATCATAACAAAAGTTCAATAGGAGTTTTTTGCAGTAAAAAAAAACTTACTGCTAGTTCTAATCCAAAAAGTTTTATGTAATTTTCACCAAAATTTACTTCCCACTCTGGAGCTGTTTTCATGCAAATAAATTTTAACTCCTACACTTTAACTAAAAACAATTTCCATAAAATTCAGTCTGCCTGTGCGCAAGACCTCTGAAAGTCCTGTGAAATCCCCAGGACATTTATCAACGGAGGCTGTACCGGCAGCTTATTATTCTCCAGCCGCATTTCAATGGAGAAATTTTAATTAAGGCTGCGATGGGCAATGGTCGATGGCCTGTCCACTCACCACTAAATCTCAAATGTCAATGGGCTGTGGTCACAAATTTTAGCTTGCTTCCAAAGCCATTTGTAATGGTCCACGGGGGGAAAGGTGAAACTGCCTCAGGCAGGTGTCGTTGTGGCCAAACAAAAAAAAAATGGAGAAATCCCAGTGCAAAGTTCGCTTCCTCCCACTTATTCCCCACTCTAAAAATGATAAATTATACGAAAAATTTTGCAAACTCCTGAAAATTACGCATTAAATCATGCAGAAAGCAGGAAAAACTGGGGAAGGCGCCAGAGGGTCACCAAAGGGTTAAGCAGTGCCAAGTCATTGTATAGTTTACGACTGAGATTTCCCCGTTAAGGGAGGGAAGTTGCGTTTTATCGCTCGCATGAGCTGCAATTTTATTACATTTTTATATTTATTTATTTTTTTTTGTGCTTTCCTTTGTGTTTTTTTATTTGGCCAAAAGGAAAATATTTGTATGTTTTGCTGCTGGTCACGTTTGCTTTTTGTGCCGGCTCGTAAATTCGGGCAAACAAACTGCAATTGCACAAGGTGAAGCATCAGGCCAGCGATGAATATTCGCCCGCCCTGTTGGGCTATTTTGTATTTTCATTATTATTACCACAGCCAGGTGTAGTCGTCTCCTCGCTTGGCACATATTTCATGGCTATGATTTACTTCATTGTTCAGGGCTGTTGGCCACCCCAAAGCACAACAACACAGCTCGAGCAGAACAAGTGCCCAGTTTTTGGCAACGCCCCTGCAAAACCCAAGTCCACATAATCATCATCATCGAAATGTTTGTTTTGGCCCCTTGAACTTGGGTCAAAACTATAGTTGAGACATGAACCTAATTTACTGGCTGAGTGCCTTTCATGCTGTTGGCCAGGCCTTTTGCGGAGCATTTCCAAATGTCTTTATCTCGTTTGCTCTCGTTTCCTTTCGAAAAGCACTCTTTTAGCCCATAAACCCCGAGGAAAATACACAACGCTAGCCTGATTTGTGCAACTTCAATTTGTGCTTTGAAAACGACAAATAAACTTTTAAAAGTTTTTTTTTTAAATCAGTTCCATACGTCTTAGAATTATTACATTTTTTAATTGAACATAATAGAAACATGTAGGTTATAAAAGAATCTTTAACTTTATTTACCTAAAGTCATGTATTAATACATTTAAATTCAGTCTTTTTTCCAATAAAAAAAACTACTGTAAAAACCAACCTGTTAGGAGATTTTTTGGCCACATTAAGGGAGTCAAAAAACAAACTTTTATGGCTTCCCTTGTCACTTTGCATTACGCCACCTTTTAATTGCTTAACGCTTCGAATTACAAAATTGGTTTGTTAATTGCCGGGCAACCTGGTTGCCCCTTACTAGAATGTCAATCGATGGGAGTATCAGAGGTTCAAAATCCTTCGTTAACGTTTGCTTAATTGCCAGTGAAGGGAGCCAGGCCCACGGCTAAAATGCAAGCAATTTACGCCTTTTTATCAGCTTGTAGTGTAGGGTTTGCCTCCTACGCACTTCATGTAACCAGGATGCTTGAGCATCCTTCGAGCCACTCGATGCCCAACCAACAAACACACACACATTCACCTATACAACCAGATAGACACGCTCTGAGTTTTTAATGAAGGCTCATCATCAACAATGTTGGCCCATAGGCGCTCACGTAAAGGCAAAGGTAGGGCTGCCAACCAATTACTTAGTCATTGCAGCCATTAGGGCAAAACAGTTGGACGGGATAATTGACACTCCAGGAGCAGGGATATAATGCCCAAACGAAAACTACCGCCAGTACTTGCTCGGCGTACGAACACTGGAAAGCGAGGAGAACACTCCCCTGCGAGTCCTTAGATCGTCCTTCTCCGGGTCCTTGTTGCCGCCCTCGCCTGCCCCATCCATTTGATGGCAGGTTAACTGATGCTTCTCGATATTCGGATCGTAACAGATATTGCGGCGCCAGAAGGAGGAGGTCATGTCGAAGTCCACGGCATTGATGGGCGCCGCCATGCAGACGACCACTATCTTGTCGCGGCCCTTTTTTGAGAGCTCCGCATCCTTGCACATGGTTATCAGGACATGTGAGTGGTCGTTGGGCTTAAGGACTCCCCAGCGTGGTCGCACAGAAAACTTACCGTACACTGTGCTTTGCACCTGGTGGAATAATTTAATCAAATAAGTCAGTAAAATTAATAATATTTATCACCTTATAGGTCACCGACATTTTGGACACATTTCTTATTATGATTTCCTGACTACAGTTTGCTTTGCAGAAGGTTAATGTGCCATGTGGTGAGACTTCCAAACATTTTTCCGACATTTTGATCAAAACTTTGCGGTGCGTTGACTTGTGAAAAACTGATTAGCTAATTAAATTAAAAATTTACCTAGAATTTGGCAAAATTTATGGGTGTACAAAAAAACCCTGGTATTTACAAAAAGATTTTGAGAAATCTAATAAATTTTGTTTCACCGAAAATAATATACAAAGAGTCAACAGCCTGCCTAGTTATGGAAAATATTTATTGGCAGCGAGAAAATGAATTAAATAGCATATTTATAATATATGTTAGAAACAATAACTTGTAAAAAATTAAATAAAAAATGTTATTTATATTTAATTTCTATGACCATGCTTAGAACTCGGTTCCCTAAAGCCCTGACTATCGGAAATCAAAAACCATTCTTTACCTTAATTCCCAATTAATATCCCCCCAGGAATCTTAACCCTTGCTTGCCTATATAGCCATAATAATCACCTTTCCGCCACCGCATTGCGGAGGCTCCTTTACACACAATTGACCCCGAATGTGTGGGACCAAGTTGTGGGCCATGTATTAATTACATTTCAACGGTCTCCGCTCAAGCAAATCAGAAAATCCGGCCAACTCCAACAACTACAACAATCAACATTTACGGCCAACAATTTGCTTTTGAAACAACAAAAGGGGATACAAAAGTTCCCACACACGAGAACACAGCACACACTTTGGGTTTTGAGTTGGGCATTGCAAGGGCTTCACAATCCTTGGCCAGTCGAGCATTTTGAGCTTAGCCGGCGCTTAGGCTAAATTACCAACCAGCAGGTGGTGGTAGTAGTAGTATGTAGTCCAGTAGCCAAGTGACCAGTGACCAGTGGGCAGTGGCCAGTAGCCAGTCCAACAACAAGAACAATGTTAGCTGTAAAATTAATTGATTTACAAGCGTGAAAATGCGCAGAGCGAGACAGGTGGCAATGCCAGTGGGTCATAACAATAACGCCCGACTGGGAATGGGAATGAAAATGAAAACGTACCATAAGAATGCGCATTTGGTTCTAGCTTAGTTCTGAGTAAATGGCAAACAGAGAGTGTAAACTATAATCCGCTTAACGGTAATTGCCGTACAACACCCACATCCATTACCGTTTAATTACACTGAAAAAATATGTTTTCGATTTGAAAAAAAACTCATCATAGAATTGTTATTGATTTTGTAATTAATAAAGTTCAAAAAGCATTACACATTCCTAAATAGAGATTTATACATAAGAAGCTTTTATGAAATGAAATTGTTACAAAAATAAAAGGTTGTGCGAATCAAAAAGCAAGAATAGATTCGAATTAAAAAGTCAAGTCATATTTTTAAAATATATATATACGATTTGATTGTAGCTTTAGGATAGGTAAATAAATTAAAACAAAATCTATGACATGCAATTTATTTTCCCATGTGTAGCGTTATTTTGTCGCGTGCTTATTAAAGCCAACTTAATGGTTACCGGGCCACGCCCACTTCCTGCACCTGCTACATCCATAAATTGCGTGTAATTTTGGATTTCTTGCTGTTTGAATGCTCACAAAGCTCATTTATATTTCATAAACTTAAAGGTTGTAGGGGTTGGGAGCAATGGGTGGCCGGAAGTGAGCTTTTGTTTTTCAGCCGTTAGTTCCTTCCGCTTCGACTGCTTGTTTATTTGCCTACATTCAGTACCGTTCTGTTGAGCTTTGTTTTGTATCGTTTTGTTTGTTTGGGCCTTGTTTTGTGAGGCAATTTAATAAGCGTCTTGGGGCTTTGCGTGTTTCTTGTTCGGGGCCCGTCTTAAAAAAGCTAAAGGGCCTTAAAGGTTTCAATTGAGGAGGTGTTCCACATTGATTGGATGGTGGAGTCTTGCTTGATGTATTGTTTACTTCATTGGACTTGGGGTGGAGGGCGTGGCTAGAGGACAAATATTGTTGCTTTGATTGCATTTAATGTCTAAGCGCAAATCAATCGACGGCAACAACAACGGACAGCGTCTCGATTTCGCTGCAATCGTTGCAATCAAGAGAGTCGTTTATTTGTTGCGAAATCGCAGCTAAAATACTGTTCAATTGCCGTCAAGCTTTTTGGTTGGTAATTCTAAAAAGACAAGTGAATTCGACTTTTGCGCACACAGAAAAAAAAGCTTATCAATATCAATTATGTAAAAGCCATTTTATTTCCTGGGGGTGTGGGAAAATTCGTGCAACATTTAATTAATTTACGGGCTGTGAATAAATTAGCTAAACAATACATAAATTTGTACAAAATTTGCAAACTAATAAAAGTAAAATAACCATATAAAAATAAAAGGAAATTGAGGAATATCAACTGTAAAATATAAAAACATTTCACTAAAGCGTGGTCAAAAAATAAAAATAATTTTACATTATGTGTACTAGAATTCCCAAATTAAATAGATCTTGCGTTGCTCGTTCTCTCAGTGCAATCCTTAAAATATATATAACCTTGAAGTGGATGTGTCAGTGTAATGCGATATTTCCGGGTTGATTGCGCTTTCGGTTCAATTGGCTATTTCAGTTTTGTACTTCATCATTTCGTTATCGATGCCAAAAGGAATCTGGCCACTCGATAATCGCAAATCCAATTAAAAGAGAAAACCTGGGAAGTGCAGTCGAACATCAAATATGCTGAGTTTACCATACTTCTGAGTGGTCCACGTATTTAGCATGGGTTTCGCATCATTTCAAATGCGATTCGCTGCTGCAGCCCTTTGGACACGCTTTCATGATGCCTGTTAGCCCATGACAGAAGCCACATCAAAATATATGCTTAGACGAAATAAAAGTAAAGTTTATCTCTCTTTTTTTCGTGTTATGTTTTTTTGATGTTGCGCCAATTGACAGGGCCTTTAATTTCTTTGGTTTTTTTCCTCTCGCTGCTCTTTATTTTTGGTTTTTTATTTCCTTTGGTCTTGTCAACGCATCGTTCAGTTGCCATAATTCAAGTCTTTCTGTCTGTTGGTGGCACGCCGTTTGCATAGCCAAACATTTGCTCTTAAATAAAAATTTATTTGGTATTTGTGCGAGTTTTTTCACTCACATTTTGCCTTGTTTATTGACAAGTTGAGGAACGTGAAGATCTCTTCGCTTTTTGTTTTATGTTTTATATTTTTTGTTCGACTCTTTGTGTGCTTTGGGTATTTGTCTTCATTTATTTTTATTGATTTTAGTGCTACTGCCGAGGGTTTCGGTGCTGATTTAGTACGTACATGTACGTACGATGGTAGACAGCGAGTGGTCAATGGCCAATTTCGTTTTCATTTGCTAAGCCAGTGAATAATCACAATGCATTTATCTATCGACCTTTCGCACACTTTCCCACTCACTCACACAGTAGCTTTTCAATTATTTAATTTTCCGCTCACGTTTTGTTAGTTTTTCTCGTAGTTTTTCATTGGCCCCCTCAAGCTAAGTGCGACAAAAGGAAAATCCCAACGAAATTTAGCGATAAAAATCTCCGAATAAGAAGCGAACCAAAAGTGCATCTTCAACTTGGAGGCGGCGACATTCTCACGTTTCCATTGGCATTAAGGTTTAGTTGATCGCCTTCGCCATTTAAAGGGGGCTGCAAGAGGGCTGACAAATTACACTCAAAGGAATTTAATATAGTAATCCGCTTTATAAAATATGGACTGAAAATGCAGCTTAAACTCGAAATCCCACTTGTGTTAGTTTTAGAAATTAACGGCATAGGTTTATGCATTGTTGTAAAATGTAATTACCTCTACGGTAGACACTATTTCATGGCACTTTTTTTCCAGTGTATGTGTGGGTGTGAGCCACTTTTTCCCATTCACTGGCTTCATGCTTCATTTGGCAAAGCTGCAAGGCAATTGATGACAGACTCGGAGTTGGAGCTTCGACGTTGGGTAAGGCAGCATAAATTCCATTTAAATGGCAAACCAGTCCTCAGCTGAGCATCATCATCATCATCAGCCAACATCGACTTACTGCTGTGATGCATCTTTAGCTTCTTCAGGTTGGGCCATTAACTACTATGGAAACTGCTATGTGGGCAGCCCAGTGACACACTAAAGTGGCACCTAAGAAAGCAGCAAAAACAATCTTATTTTTTATATTAAAAAAAAAAAAAAAAGAAAATAAAATGTCTGCACGAGGTAACAGAAACCGCATTTAAATGCTGGGCTGCATTTCAAGTTTCGCTTTTGGTTTTTGCAGATGCGCAGGCAGGTCGTCCCCTTGATCTCCCCTTCTATATCCCGATTTTTCAACCAACCGGTTTTATGGCTTACCCAAGCTTGCCTAGGGCCATCTATTCTTCTCGGCTTTTGTTTTTTTTTTTTTTTTTGGTTTTGTACTGTTTGGGTTTTTAGCCGTTTCCCGTTGCCAAACGTTTTGCCGTTGTTGTGGATATTGCTGTGCTGTAGGCACCTGCATTTGACGTTTTAGGTTTACAGTTTTGCAGTGGCAGTTCTCCACTGCTAACCTGGTCAGTTATTGCCCGCTGCTCTGGTCTGCCGAGGCCGTAATTTCATTCATAAAGTTGGCTTACCTCAGCGTTTCGTAACTTTAAGGTTAATGGACAAAAATGGCCAAGCAATTTTAGGAAATTTCTTTTAAAGGCTATTGTTAAAAGTTAGCGACTAGCGACTATTTTAATACAGCAATTTGCTAATTAAATTGCACTTTGACAGCTGAGCTTCCTTTCAAAAAGCTGAGGGTTCTTAAATCACAGCAAAACCGAATACTTAAAATAAGTTACAATCATGGAAGAGCTGTGAGAATTGATACGGTTGAGTGAATGAATAACTATAGTTATGGGGCATGCAAAATTAGCAGAGGAAAATGTTTAAATAATGGGTATTTTCAAATGGTAATTTTATCCTTGACTAGCAACGTGTTTCCATGCTCGGAGCTGAGCCTTAATTATAGACAAGCAGCGACGACGAGCTTATTGCATTACAGTGCTCATTACGTAACGAGAAGTGTGACGCGCTTTTCATTAATTTTTCCATCCTACAACCCTCTCCCTCTGTCGTTGCGATGCGATGATGTAGTGTTTGTCTTATTAAAAGGATGCAGAGTGGCGAACATGGCATTTTGTGTATTTTGAAATAAATTTCCGTTTTGTTGATTTGCGAAACACATGAACACGCACACACACACCCACACTTGTATTTATATATCTTGTAGCTCGTTGTTGACACCCGCATTCTGCAATTTCAGAGCCATAGCAATTTCTGCAGTCATATTACATGTCACAGCACATAAACACACACACACACACACCACACCCTCTTCACACCTGAGCTTCCTCTTACACTTCAACACGCTTTCGCTGTAATTTCCTGTTGGCAAAAACTATAAACTGTCAGAGGCAGAAAATCTCTTTCGCTCTGGTGTATCTGTGTAGCGTCCTAATTTGCAAAAGGACTGGGTATCTAGTTTAATGTCCTTGGCTGGCTGTGTCGATTGCAATTGCCATGTAAATTGATTTGGCACGTTCTGCATTGCTTTCCGTGGCAATTATGGAGATCTGACCTTCGACCAGGCCGAAAAACTTGACCGGATCAGATCTCTCCAAACTAGGCAGTGACATATTGCCCTGACATCGATATAATACTTTCCAAATGCAAACTGGCCGGCAGACGTGACCTGCATCGACCCACTTGCCAGCTATCCGCCCATTGAGCAATCACCAAAAATCGGTACAAGTCAAATAAAACCAGAGAGAGAGAGAGACCCAACTTTAATTCAAACAATCGCTTGGCGCGTGTTAGGCAAATTTTCAGTTTCAATTGGCATCGTTTTTTTTTATTTATCGTGTTAGCAGTTTTTTTTTTTAATTGGCATTCGCGGCATGAGCCAAGCAACCGAGTTGGCCCGGCATTTTTAACAAGCGTCGCCCCAAATTTGCCATTGCATCGTAGACCAAAATTGGCGCTTCGGTCGCTGAATTGCGTCAGCGATTGAGCAATTGGTCAAATGCCTTCTGACTGTGTCAGGTTCAAACTTGGGAATCAGCATAGGAATACGTTATGGGTAATGGTAATGCTAATTGAAACGGACAGACTTGGCCAAAAGACTTTTGGTTGAAGGAAAGTACGCAGTCAAAGCACACGAAAAAATTTCACTCGCCATTCACGTCACGGTTTATTAATATTCCGTTGATGTAATGCGACTGACAACGCACACATAATTTATATATAATTTGGTTTGACTTCTGACAAGTGTGGCAGCCTTTCGGGTTTGTTTAGTTCCTGTCCAAATATTTTGGTTCAATTTAAGATAACATTATTCAACAACAACGAGAATATATGTGAATATTTTGTGTTCATTTGAAAAATAACGTTTTCTGCACTAAAGACCAAAGTGATTTTGGTTTTTATATCCAAAAATTTATTTGTGATTTTAAAGTAACAAATTAAAATACATTTTCCGCATGTAATAACTATATTTATAAGATGCTGGCATTGGATTTAAAAGATAATGTTTTCTTACAAAAAACCAATAAGAATTTTGCAATTGTCCCTTGTTATCCAAAAATACCGCATTGCAATTCATATTTTAAAACGTCAAATTGTTATGCTTGTAATTATATTTCACTCACATCTCCAGTTTGTTTCGTTTTTGAAATGCATTTCCCAGCGTGATTTTTTCAGGCTTCCCCCACAAATATTTGAACGCATTTTTTCGTTCATTATTTATGTTTTTGTAGGTATATTTTTTTATATTTTTTTTGTTGCGGCGCCCATCAATCAGCCGCCGTGGAATGTGTGACACACTTAAGCGTAACGCATACGCAGCGTGTGCTGTCAAAACGCAATATATTTAATGAGAATGGAAAATTGCTCTTATATTTTTTCTGCATTGAATTGCCGAAAAATCGCTGGTAGACAAAACGCTTGAAAGCGGCCACTTGAAAGCGCAGCAAGCGAATTTGTTGCAAAATGGAAACGTAAAGTGTTTTGTTGAAAATTCTCCAAAAACAACAGTAGCGAAATGTAAACAAAAAGCGATGGCAGTTGGCGCTGGCCCCAGTCACAGTGCCAGCTGCCGACAATTTTTGTTGCCTGTTTTTTTTCCCCCTATTTTCTTTTTTCTGCAGAGTAACTACAAATGCAAATTGCCAGGGCCGCAGTGCCGAACGAAATATTTGCCATGTAAATATGGCCCCGAAAAACAAAAATTTATAAAAGAATACTCTTTGGTCCTGGTTTGGTCCTCTGTTCAAGAGCAATTAAATGAAAAATATTTGCGAATGCAGCGAAGTATTTGCTTCAAGTGCTGTGACCCTGCCTTCGAAATGGTTGACAGAAAATTATGAAACTTATTGGAGAGTTGTTTAAGGGGGAGGAGTTTTTGAAAGAAAAAACTTCAGCCAGACGCAGAAAGCAACCCAGACACACACACACGCACACGCAGACTCATTAAGAGAAGAAGATGGTGGTTCTCAAGTGCAAGTCAGCACATTCCCTACGTCAGCAGCTGTCGGAAAAGCAGGGGAAAAGTGAAGGGAAAACATTTTCATTGGCACAACGGAATGAATTTTCATACAAATTTTATGTAAATTCAACATGACAAGTTTTTTTTGCACGCGCTGTTATATAAATATATGGGATATGTATGTATGCATGTTTGTATGTATGAGAGTACGCATATATCATAGGTTGGCCAACGTGGCGGATGAGCAACATGAGCACCAATTTGCACTGCGGATTATGTCACAAAATGGGGGGAATGCCAGGGCAGAGATACTTGCACCTCGCCGACTTGTCATATGTGGCTTGCATTTAATTAACAAGCTAATTTTTCAAAGCGCAAATCGCTGAGAAGCCAAAACAGAACACACACAGATATTACGACTGCAATATGATGGCCTGTGCCAAACAAAAATATAAATAAAATAAACTAAACAGATACCCATAGAGGCACTGATGTATACGTGTTTTTGCAGCACGTTGAAATAGCTGCTTTATGGCCTGCTTGCCAAGATAGATGAACTGTGTCCATCGGATGAAATAGTTCTACGTCTAGGCACTTAAAATCGTTTTTGGTATTTTTAAAATGCACTAATTAAACGAACTAAACCACACCACAAGCATATTATTTAGTCTGTTTTCGCAACCAAATGTCATGTCGGACACAAAACGTTTCTTAATTGAAAAGCAAAAATATTTTGCTGCATTTAGCATTCAAATCATCCACTTACCTACGTTTTTTTGACATTTTCATTAAATTGCAAAATTAATAACCATTTCATGTAAGCATATGGGGCAGAAGCACCTAAATGTTCTTGGCTGAAAACATATTAAAATGCCACTCAACACGATAAGCCCCGTTCTTGCCGTTTTAGCACCCGCAAAAATATACCCAGAAAAGTTTTCTTTTGCCTTACCACTTTTGTTGTTGTTGTTGTTCCTATATGTGTATATGAATTTAGCCAAGAAGCAACAATAAGCTGCAAATTTTGCATATTTCATAGCTGCTGACAGAGGTTGGGTTAGAAATCCGGGCGAGACAAGCCAAATAATGGCAAAAATTTATACAAATAAAACTGACAATTTAAAGCGCTTTTTGTTATCCGCCCAAAACCCAACAAAATCCTGGCCCATTTCCAACCTGTCCGTCCGTCTGTCTGTGTCCTTTGTCTAACCAAGAGCTTAATACAGAAAGCTCTGGACCAGCTCCCGATGGGGTTACCACCACCTGCAAAATAAACTACCTGGATTTAATTTTGCAGTTTTACGGCGCAACCAGACAGACACACACACAAATAGGAAAATGCTTAGCGTCTGCGTGGGGCAAGAGGGAAAGTAGTATGAAAAGTGTCTCCGGGCCAAAACTCATACTCATAATGTTCATTTTAAATGTGCACTCGAAAATATTGTTCAAGTGCGTCACTAAAAGAGGGATGCTAACTTTTGGAGATATTAAACTTTATAATAAACTTCATCTCTCAAATTAAGGTAAAGCTAAAGCCTGATATTCTTGTTTTCCGGGAAACTAACTTATTTATGAATTTCACTACTGAAGTTATATATTTTAAGACTTGTAAAGTGGATTTTAGAGTATAGCGGAATAATATTTTGAATAGTAAATATTGACACAATCAAGTAAAATTCATTAAAAAAGCTTTAAGAAAGTTGAATGTGTCAAAATATTTTTTTTTCTGTTGTACATTCTGCAGAGTTTTTTTTAACGTATTTCTTATAGAAACTTAGTTTAATATATTGTATGTTAGCGTACAAATTACGATATATTTAAAATGTGTCGAACATTTAATGGAATAATGTTTTGTTGTTATCGGCTCTCCCAACAATCTTAAAAGAAGGTTGATATATATAATATACAAAAGGATATGCCTTTGTCAAGAGATTTCGTGTGTGCATTTTTTTTAAAAGGTTCTTAGGTTGAATTTGTTTTTTTTTTGAGTGTACAATGGGGAGTACATACACTTTTACGACCATTACTAATCCATAAACCCATCTCTCTCTCTCTCTGCTTCTTTTCCCCCGTTCTTTCTCTCTCTCTCTTTCTGTTTTCTTTTCTGAAAATGCAGCACATGGTGCAGGCGGGCGTGGCGCCTTTCCCGGGCGCTCCGGCCGGCTATGCCGCCGCACCGAATCCGGCAGCGGCGGCTGTTGCAGCAGCGGCCGCCGCCCAACAGCAGCAGCAGCAGCAGCAACAACAACAGCAGCAGCAGGCCCAACAACAACAGCAACAACAACAGGTGGCCGGCGGACCGCCCAACGCTGCCGACAGTCTGTCAATGGCGGTGGCAGCGGCAGCGGCCAAACAGGCTGTTGAGCCAGTGGCCCAAATAAAATCGGGCGGAGGCGAGACCGCAGGAGCTGTCAACAACAATAACACAGCTGGAGCGGCAGGAACGCCAGGATCCGCCGGAGGATTGACCACAGAATATTCAACTGGCTGTGGGGCTGGTGGTGCATCGGCGGCCAATTCGGCGGTGGTGACCACCAGTGTTTCCGACGTACATGTTTCGATGTTCATGCAACAGAAGGTGAGTTTGTTTGCCAGGCTAATTGTTTGACCTTTCCTCTTTCCCAACACATTTCCATTTCCTCCCACTACTCATCCCCTTTTCAAACACACACCCACCCATTCGCTTGATCTCACTTTGTTTGTGTTTGTGTGTGTGTTTGATATGCATTTGTAGCTGTGTTTGGTTTTTGGCTTTTGGGTTCGCTTCGGTTTGGTTTGGTTTGGTGTGGTCTGCTTTGGTTTTTGCTCCGTTTTGATTTGGTTACGCACACTCAATATACACAGATGCCAGCACACATACAGAAATTGAAAGATAGCAACGCTACACTTAAGAAAACATTACTTACTTGAAATACATTAACCAAAGAATTGTTTCTAGTTATAGTTTGGGTTGGTAATGGTGTGTTTTTGTACTATTTATGTTTACTTTAGTTGTCTTGTCTTCAAACCATAAAATTTTGTTTTTTAGCCATTTAATTAAAATTAAAAAAAGAGGGAAAAACTTGTATTAAAATGTTGTTGGGTTTGAAAAATTAAACATAAATTTCTAACCGAACATTTTATTTTAATGTAATACCTTTGACCATACGGTAAATAAATTTGTTTATTACAATAATAAAAGGCGTTTTTCCTAGCTGTAAACGTATATTTATTAATTCCAAGTGTTTTTTTTTATATTTTTTTAAAGCATATAATTGCTTTTAGTGTAAGCCAGGGCATTCAAATAGAGGCCATGCTTGTTATCGCTGTTGCACCTGGACTTGTTTAGTCTGTATTTGTTGCTGGTATGAGCGCTTTGCTTTTGCATTTTTAATTGCAGCAAGCAGCACTGTGAAAAGTGCCAACAGCAAGCAACACTCACGCACTTTGGCATCCACAAGCACACACACACAAACACACACTAACTAACCTGTATTTATTTGCGATGGGCGTTTTATGTAGCATACTTTTTGTAGCTGTTCGCTCTCGTTTCTCATTTGACCCTGGAGCTGAGTTTCTATATGCTTTGTAGTTTATTGTTTCTACGCTTCTAATTAAAAATTGACTGCAGCACATACAAACGCAAAAAGTTTCAAGCGGTTTTCTAGAATATCCCCACAATCGTCTACATCCCATAAACAAAACGAAAATGTTTTCAGCAGAGAAAGTTAGTAGCTGGGCAATCGGTAAATTTTGATATTACCAGTTGAATAAATACAAGTTCTTGTTTGGCTATTGACCAAGAAGTATTTGCTTATGAAAATTGATTCATGCTTTTGAATAATTTAACAGATGAGAGCATCAGGTGTACTTTTCACATATTGTCTAACTATGCACTTATGCACTTTGAGTTCGTACCTTGCAGGTGTAATAAATTATCAAATATTTAACTAATTAAAATAGTTTTTTCTTTTGTTCTTTTTGACTAGTCTCATGTTTTACTTTACTCGCAATTAATTAAGTAGTCTTTTATGCAGACAATGCGCATACGCCACGTGGAACTATGAATATCCCACACTGGTTTTAAAACTGTAATTTGCTTGGGCTGCGGCAAAATGCATCGTAAATGCCATTTCATTTTATGTTTGAACGTGGTTTGAGAATTTAATATGCTTATTTATTCACAGCAGAAGTCTGTTGTTAGTTAAAGTAAATGAGGAGAAAAATCCTTAGCATATTTATTTATTGTATCCATGACTTAAGACACTTGAATGTGCAATAATTCGGGTGTTCACACATGTATTAATTTTCACTTGGTTTCACTTTCAATTACTCTGAAAATTTTATCCACCGAAATATTTGTCAATATTAATTGGCCAAACAAAAAGCAACAACTAAAATGGCTGTGAGAACTTAACAAATAAATCATAAATGGAGAAAGGGAAACTTAAATGTATATATCAATAAAACACAAAAGTGTTTTTAATGGCTTTATATAAATATATTTGTATTATTTATCAAATGAAGAAAGAGACATAAATAAAACATTTTTTAATAGATAACAAATAACAAATATTATTTACTATTACTTATTTGATTATATAAAAAAATAGATTAAATAGAAAATTAAACCTTGTTTAGGAATGAATGATCGTAGGCAAGCATTAAGTTTGTTACCCACTCTGCATATTGTCATGATTAAATATACCTTATATACATATATAAAACTCTATGTGGTTAATGTAACAATTATATTATTCAAGGCATGTTCCAAGCAATTAAGAAGCTGTAAAATGGTGGAGAGTAAGAAATTAAGCTACCCATTTAAGAAATTTGTTGGTGTTGGTCGCCTGCCTGTCTGCATATCTGGTTTTTTAGCCTACATCCACACTCTATCTCTTAATCCAAGTCCTTCACAGACACACACAAACACACACCCACACTCGCTGATAAGCGCAGGCTGCAACAGCAACTAAAACGCAAATCCTTGTTGTTATCTGAAAATTTATCACAGACAAATCTGTCAACACAAACACAGACACAGTACGAGTACGAGTACGAGTACGAGTACAATGGAACCAGCCTTGCAGAACCAAGAGTCCCAGGTCCCATTCCGCTTCCACTGACAAATGGACATGCCATGGACCAAGTGCAGCAGCCACCAGAACACCAGCAGCATCTGCAATCATCGCTGCCCCCACAAAATGTGCTCAGCGTAGTGAGTCAGCCACCAACAAAAAATTATAATAAAATAAACAGAGGAGAAAAAATGTATATATGCATAAAGAAAACAAATATAGAGAAGAGCCGGGCGGACAATTGAAATTTACGTGCCAGATTCTTGGTCTTACCATGTTTTCTTTTCCCATTTTGTTCTCCTATTTGCTTACCATGCTCATCTTCATTAGGCGACCAACCGACTGGCCAGGGCAAAGCTGCTTTTTGCCTCAACTTGAACTCTTTTGTAACTGCATTTTTGTATGCATTGCCATCATCAGGGAAACTTTGTTCTTTATGCCTTGTCAGAGCAGATGCTGGACAAGTATTTTTATAATTAATTGAGTGAAGGGGTATTACCCCCAGCTGTGGGGGTGTTACTGTAACCACAAAACGTGCTTATAGGATTTGCTTTTTATTACAAAATAATTGCTTCTCTTTATTTTAGGTTATTTTCGTCTTTCTATCACTTTTTGGTTAATTTAATTTATTTCAAATTCAAGGCATTTTGTTTTTTAAAATAAAAATCAAATAAAAATTCCCAATCTTGTCGTGTCAGGATTAATTAAGATACAGCTTTGAAAGCAATCTGATTCGATCTTAAGTTCGCAAGTAAGGCCACAGAAAGTATTCAAAGTTCAAGAAATTTACCCCAGTAAAATATTTAAATCAAAACAATTTAGTGCAAATTTCTTGCCTTTTGCCAGGGTGAAAAGTTTTCAAATTTATGCAGAAATTCTTTTAATGCCGAATCAAAACACTGCCATTGGCGACCTTTTTTCAGCCATGTCGCGTGCCGCACAAAAGCATTTCGATAAACTAAAAAGCGTTAAATGTCATTTACGTGTAACCCGATACCCGAAACAATAAACCCTCCACCTCCGCCAGTTGGCCATTTATGGGGCCAAAGTTTTTCACGCCATTTCACTTTGGGCCCGAAATGTTCGGTAAACATGCAAACCGAGAACTGAACCAAAAAAAAAAACAAGAAAAAATGCAAAGCGAGGAAAAAATGTGTATTGTCAGGGCGGACCAAAAATTTGTTTAGATTTATGTGTCAACAATGCGCAGCAAATTAAGTTAAGCGTTATTTCTATTGCCTACATTATGGGGCGAGCGCAATCTTTCATTCTGTAACATTCTATTTTTTTTTTGCCTACGGCTCATTCTGGTTTTTATTGCATTGTCATCGAATTTTGTCGGGTCCTCTGCTGTTCGCCTACGTAAATCGAGAATTTTTCATATTATTCCAAAGCGGGCGAGAAGCGGCAGTCGGGGGCGTTGGTTGAAATAACAAACAATACCCTTCGATGGTAGTGCATTTTCAGTTTTAATAATGCAGAAATACAAAATGCAAACATTTCCGCGGGTTCGTTGGGGGATTTCTGCTCTGCACTGTGGTGGATTGGGTATATTGCAACAGTTTGCGCGACAGTTTTATTGCATAAGTCAACACAAGTTTGTGCCACAAAATATGTACGTACATGTATGGGGCTTCCAGCTCCTGTTCTCCTGTCTGCCTGTCTGTCCCAATTGTCTGTGTGTGTGTTAGCTGTTTTTTTTTTTATTGGGTCAAACCCATACACACATATGCGTGTGGCCTGCTTTTCCACCCTCGAGCAGGATTTTCATCTCTCCCGGGATGTAAACCACTTGAAAATTGTATTTTCATTTCAATTGTTTATTTATTGCGGCACTTGTTCGCATTCGATTTGCCAGGCAGCGCTAAAAATTCAACTGCAAAAAATACCAATTGCAAACAGCAACGGCAAACAGCTACTGGAGTGCTTTCGAAAGTTTTACAAAAATCACATTTCCACTAAATGAGATTGGAAAATTGTATTTTCACTTTTCGAGGAATTTTGCTTACGCAAATTTGTTCTTTTCGATACAAATGTATTGTGGAGGATAAGTAAACAAAATAATCTAAGAAGCTTTGAATTAAAATCTAAAACCAAAATGGAAAAAGTTATTTACACATGTTTTTTATTAAATGTTTTTTACAAATTTCTTTAAAAACATTTTAATTTTCTCTATCATATAATTATTCTTTAAGAGGACTTAGATGCAATCAGTTAATCAAATTTTGATATGAAAAATAGTATACTTAATAAAGCTTATACTAAAATACAAATTTTGAGATATCTTTTAGCGAAGTATGTAGAACGTTTTTTGGGAAACTATAGGTAAAAGGTTTTTCATAATTGTTAACCTTTGTTATATAAATATTAATCGAGGGAAAATAAATTTTTGTTATTTAAAAAGTCGAATACCGCAAATGCCATTAAATACAATAAATTATGAAATATGTTTCTAAATAAAATAGGACCCTTTTAAAATCCATTTACTTTTGCTATAAAATAATATTTATATTTTATAAACTTTTTACTAATTTATGTATTTTCTTTTTTTGCAGTCCACAGTATTGATCGCCAATGAGGCAGCAGAATCACAACAGAGCTCCGCCATACCCAATTCTGGAGGTGGCAGTACTGGTGGTGGTGGAGGCGGCGGCGGTGGAGGCGGGGGCACGCCCAGTTCACCGCTCAGCAGCTCCCCGTCCAGCGTAACAGCATCGCAGGCAGGCGGATGCGGACTGACCCTCAACGGCAGTGCCAACGAGGGTAGCATGTCCGGGGACACATCGCCGGTGGCCAGCGGCGAACCGCTCCTGCAGACGCCGCCCGCCCTCCAACAACAACAACAACAGCAGCAGCAACAACAACAACAGCAGCAACAACAACAACCGCTCCTGTGCAGCAGTCCCACATCGATGCAATCGGCGGGCACTTCAGTGACGGGCAGCTCGATAGCATCCGGCACATTGGCGGCAACCAGCAGCAGTGGCGTTGGACTTTTGCCCACCACCGGATTGGATAGTATTGCCAATGGTGGAGCAGGCTGTGCCGTAGTACCGGCCAGCACCTCGCAGGTGATCGCCCACCTGAATGCAGCAGCCGCAGCGGCCAGCGGCATCATGTCGCCCACGGCCAATGTGGCCACTAGTCTCAGCAGCGCTCTAGTCCCGGCCCAGTCGGTGCCGTCGGTGGTCGCCTCCCTCGATGCCAAGAGCCAGCCAAAGCGGCTGCACGTCTCCAACATACCGTTCCGCTTCCGGGATCCCGATCTAAGGGCCATGTTTGGGGTGAGTACAAAAATGAGATTTAAAATTAGTTAATTCATCAGCACTTCAATCTTCTCAATATGTATTCAAATACCACTTTGGATCTGTATAAAAATTTACTTATCAATAAAGCAAACAGTAATTTTTCGTACCAAAAATAATTGTATAGAATTGGTGTACAAATTTTTAATTTATTATGATTATTAAAGAATAAGAAAAGAATTCGAATTAGGACATTTTAAACAGCTTAAATTTTAAAAAATGTAGGTTGCAAGAACTATAACTACTAATCAATAAAGCTTACTAACTGATGTAATATGACTTAAAAAATTTATTTTTCAATGTGAAGAAAAGAACTTACACAAGATTTTCCCTAAAGCCTAAAATAATCTATAACTTAGGCATATTTTTATATCTATACTATATTTTAGCAACAACAAATTAAAACGTTCCTCTCAAGAATGCGTAAGATTTCCCAAGTGAAATATTCTTTTATATATTTACTATTTCTAAAGTTAAGCTTTACATACTTTTCAAAAAATTAATATTTATTATTTTTCTATGTCCCCCAGCAATTTGGCACCATTCTGGATGTCGAAATTATCTTCAACGAACGCGGCAGCAAGGTAAGTTTCGCCAAACTTTCAATTCTTGTAGGGCTCACCATCGTCTCCCTCTGCAAATATATCGCCTGCCTGCTCGCTCTCTCTCGCGCCCTCTCTGTCCCGCTAGTGTCGCTGTCTCGCTCTGCCGCCAATTGTGCAGGACATTTTGCATCTAATTGTCGCACAATTCATTTAAATTATGCACTTCAAGTATTCCCAGATGAGATGTCTTTGTCCGTCGCCAGGGCAACCTTGTTGAGCTGTCCTTTTTACGGCATTATTATGGACGGTGTGGAGCCTGGTGAAAATAATTGCATAGTTACCATAGCACCAGGAATTGTGCATAATTCAGGACCGAAGCACCAACACCTTGAGATGCTTGGGGATTTTTTTTTATTTTTTTTTTTTTGTTTTTGGGACAGCGAGGGTTTGAGTTTAGTGGGCAGGTGAAAAGGAGGAGGCGCATTAAGAAGTAGAGCAAAGTAGGGCACGTGCATGTCGCAGTCGCAGTCGCCACCCAAAACCCAAAACCCAAAACCTGAAACCCAAAATCCCAACCCAACAACCCCACTTAAAAAAATAAACCCAGGAGTAAAAAAGGAGATGTGCCAATGGCCCCTGTCCAAACGCATGTCCTTGGCCGCCTTGTTGATGTATTTGTAGCTTTAGCTTTATCTATTTTGATATATATAATAATAATAAATATACGACTTCAACGAAACCCGAAGAGATGACTTTGTTGTACCAAATCGTTATTTTTTAGTTTTTTTTGAAAATCGTAATCTATATACTCTATATGTTTCTTTAATTGCATGTTTGATTGCGAATGGCAGGGATTCGGTTTTGTAACATTCGCTAACAGCAACGATGCAGAACGAGCACGCGAACGTCTACACGGCACCGTGGTTGAGGGACGCAAAATCGAGGTGGGTGCATGCCATGTCATATACAACTTACCAACCAACACACACCAAACACACACACACACACCCCCAACTAATTTCACACACAAACTATTATAAACTATATGGTATCGTCTCACAGGAGTAGCGAAAAGAAATTGCTTTTCAACTTTTAATCCTTGCGTGTCAGAATGATATGGCTTTAAAAATACTCCATACCACTTTTTTTTTTGTTTTCATTTAATCCAAGGACTAGCGTACAGTGATTGATTCTTATTTGCCTTTCATTAAAAATTAATTACACATTCTTCCTTTCGCCTTCCTTTCTGATTAATGCTCACTGTCGTGCAAGCCGCAAATAATTGGCATTTAAAATATGCTGAAAATGCGCAAAGTACGGAAAAGTTCGCCCGTCCGATGGTTGGTTAAACAAATTAACTGAGCCGCATAAAAGGCTGAAATGCAATGTTATTTCCCTGCCAAATGGCAACGGAAATCGCGCGAGTCTAATTAAGTCCTGTGTCCACAAATGGCCGTCATATATATATATATATATATATATATATATATATATATATATATAGCATGGAATAACCGGAAACGGAAACGAGTGTCCGTCGGCTCGCTGAAAGCCTTCAAAAATTAATTTTCTCCATTTATTTTTAATCGAAACAATTGCAATTTAAATAAAGTTCAGTTTTGATATGATAACTTTGCAATGATAACGGACTGAAAATTTAGTCTTTTTTATTGTGAGAGCATTTTTTTTTATATAATTTAAATGCATATTTTGGAACAGCTACCTTAAAAATACATTTGTTTTCATTTTATTTATTGAAAAAAAAAAACCCTGAAAAAAGTAATTATGTTAAAACATAGAGTATATTTTCTTGTATGATAAAAATAATACAAACAATGCTGTTACAAATAGTTAAAACACCCTTTCAACATACACACATCCACAAACACTTTAAACACTATTTGCAAAGATTTTCGTAAATTGTTAACTAACACATAATTTATTTCTACATTCTCTATACATGCGATCTTTATAAATATATATACTCTGCTCATATGTGTGTATATGATATAAAAAAAAACTTTAAAAAACTCATCACCAAACCAACAACAACAACTACAACAACCACGCTCGCTGATCTATCAAAAATAAAATAAAAATAACCAATTGTGAAGGTGAATAACGCCACTGCACGTGTACAAACCAAAAAAGTGACAACAGTACCCAACGGTAAGTGACCCTAACACACACTACACCCACATATAATCTCACACACATACCCACATACATGCCAGCTTAGTTTAAGCCACATAATGAAACAAGTTCAAATGCTCGGCTAAGAAATGCAATTACGATGAAATGCAACAGTAGCAGCAGCAGAAGCTACGAAAATAGCAATAAAAGTCTGCCCAATTTAAGTGTGCATTGTTTTTGCTGCTATTGTTCAGTTTCTTAACATTCCTCAAGTTTTCGTTTTTGGTTCTTCGTTGTTGTTTTGTTTGTTTGTTTGTTTTTGGAACTTTTCACATCAACTTCTTTGGTGGCCAAAAACTGAAACTAACTGAAACTGAGAAATTGAGTTGCCAGCGAATGTGTGTTTCCTAATGAAAATGTTACAATTTTTTTAGTTCTGCCTTTTTCGTTGGCAGCACACGCTAGAACATGTTACCCGGCTTGAAGCAATAAAAAATTACCAAAAAAGTTGTTAACACAAAATGCCACTAACTCGCGGGAAGCCATTTTCAATATACCAGCCCACCTTGCCTTTTGTATATTTTTGTAATTTAATTTCTTTGGGGGTTTGCGGCTGCCTAACTAAACGCACATTCATGACACACCCAAATAATACTTAAAATACATGAAATTAATGCGTATTTGTGGTTTCGATTAAGTTATGTTTAATGCGTGTGCCTTTGACTATGATATTGATGATGATGATGATTATGATTGACCAGAGTTATTTATATGATTTTCATTTTGTTTTCTCTCAAACACCCCACACAGTTGTACTGACCAAAGATGGTGGTATGCCGGCCCCAGCTCTAGGTGAGCCAAATCCACAAAAAAAAAACCCAAAATCCTTCACTCAATAAAACAAAAACCAAAATGAAATAATGAACGTATTTCGTAATCTTTTAGTTTTTGTAAATTGTGTGCCTGCCAAAAAAAAAAAGTTAAGCAAACTATGACACGAATGCTCGCTGCTTGCAGCTTCCGATCCCATCCGCCCTGCTAAATGTTCGTTGGACTTTATTGAGAGATCCTCAGAGATGCCTTAGCATGTTGCACGTTAACTGTTGCTAACTGTGTATTGTACTCGCCCTCCCCTTATTGGCTGAATGAAATCAAAATTGAAACCTTTGCCTTTAAACGATATACTCCAGAAGTTAAACAAGCTAAAGATTAAATCTGTTCCCAGCATGTTAAATAGCTCAAGAAAAAAATTATGGGGTACCCAAAAATCAATAGTAATTTTGAATAATTTATTTTGGTTTCTAAAACTTTCCTTAAAATTATACAAACTTATACTGTGGATAATGGATTACGTTAGAACTATAGACATCCTTCAGTAAAATGTGTAAAATGCTCTTTTATCATAGGTGACAATTCAGTTATGTTTAATCCATTGATGTATTTATTGTTGTTGATAATGGGTTTTCCTTGGTATGGTCTTCATGGTCTTGGGTTTTCCTTGGTTTCCTTCATGGTCTTCTTTTCTTACTCAGTTTACTATATTTTCTCACTCAAAACATTTCTAAAGTTTCAATAAAGATTATTAACAAAGAATGAATTTTTTTTTAAAACCTTGATTCATATTTATTCTCTATGATTGCTAAGCTATTTTCCCCCTCTTTTCTGACTCGATCTCTCTACAAATACAAGAATCAAAAATATCCATTTCTAAGTTCATTCAGCTAAAAGTTCTTAGTTATTTCTTGTAGCACAGTTCCAGTTGAGGTTGTTTTTCTCCTTTGAAGAAATAACTATAAAAAGTAACGTGAGGAGAGTAAAAGAAGTTGAAACCGAGAAAAGTTTTTCCATGCAATGTATAATAAATAATACAGCTGATTAAATCGTCTTCCGTCTCTGTTTGCCATTAAAAAGTATTCACAGCACAAAATCTATACTTTGGGTACGCTCAATACGATAAGCCGCTTACAAACCGAGCAAACCAAACCAAACCAAACCAAACCGAACCGAACCCAAGGCATGAGATTGAAAAGGATAGGTTGGGGAACAGAGGAGCCTTCTGGTAAAGCGGCTCAGGACGTTGGCAGCTTTGCTGCAACTCCATCTCCCAACTCCATCTCCGTCTCCAGCTGCAGCTACTGCTCCTGTTCCCTGGTGGTCGGTTATCCTTCTGCTGATGCAAAATGCTTTTGTATTGCCAACAAAACTTAGACTCTTCGACTCGGACACAAAAAGGCCAATATGACCGAGAGCAGAAGAGCATGTTTGCCGTTTTTCCCGGCAGCTTCCCTGCAGCCTTTGGCCTGGCGCACGTGCACCTAATGCGCTTCATTTGCGTTGCACTAAATGCTGTTGCCTCAGTATGTTGTACACTACAAAAAAGACACAATTTGCTGTACAAAAAGGAGTCATTAGAACCTACATTTTGTTAAAAAATCAAAATAAATTTAATGATAGAAAAAGACTGTCCTCTATAAACTTTGCTTTTTTAAAGAAAATACTTTTGAAATACAATCTATTGTTCATAAATCAGATATATAAGGCAGCTATATTACAAACATTTTGCCCAAGTGCAGACAGAAGAAAGCATCGAAAGGACATCGCAGAGCTCTAGTTTCTCCAGGTCACTTTATCACGTTTCGAACTGTCTTCCTTTGGCATGGCAAATCGCCTGCTGCATTATTACCCAACCGGAGGACTCCTCACGTCGTTGTCCTGCTCGTTAGGCGGCAGTCAAGGATTCAGAAAAGTCAGTCAGTCAGTCAGTCAGTCAAGCGGCAGTCGGGATAATTGCAAATAAACCACAAAGTTACAAACATGTGGTGGCCTTACCCCTGCTGGCAAAACAAACCGCTCAAACACACGCACACACACACACACACACAGCACAGACATAAATTTAGCAAAAATGTAAAGTTTTCTGGTTATCCTGAAGGCGGCGGAGTAGCACCCTTGGGAAGCGGGCGAGGGGCACAAGAACGTTTTATCCAAGCCCTCTGTTTTGTTATGTCTTATGCAAATGTGCACCCCACACGCTTACTTTGTGCATTTGAAAGAAAATTTACTCCGTATAGGTTGATTTTCCCGCACAATTTCCCCTCTGAAATCTTCTGGCTCATCTTCCTGCCATTTTAACTTTCTTGGTCTGAGTGTGTGTGCGTTTTTTTTCTTTCGTTTTGCGTTGATCCTTTGACATGTTAAACTTAATGCGCTCTGCCCCCTTGCTCTGTTCCCTTTTTTTTCACGCTAGTGTCTTTCTGTCTGCCTGACATGTCTCTTACTGCATTTTTCGATGGTATTTCTGGGTATTTATTTTGCCATTTTCCAAGGCAATTGCAGACTCCTGTGAATTTCCATAGCACAAAGAGACAGGAGCTCATTGTGTAACCATTCGATCGCTGGAAGGAAGCAATCATTGCTTGCTTATTTGTCGTTTTGTTAAGCATTTCTTTTGCATTTGCAATGAATGCAAAGTTCAATTGCACAGAAACAAAAAAAAATTTGTCTGTAAACAAATTTAGTGAAATTAGTTGTACATTTCTCTTTTGTATTTATATAAGAACTAATGAGAAATACGGAATGTTTCAACTACCCTTTTCTTTTAAACTCAAGCTATTTTCCATTCAACGAAATACCATTTGCCCCAACACTTTTCTCTATGTGGAAACCAATTTTTGACTTCTTATATGTATGCAAATACCCCATTCAAAATGAGAGAAAACACAAGGATGCTGCATGCACCAGCAAACAATGAAAACACAATGCCACAAATAAATTAGAGCTCTACAGTATTTAACCAATTACCATAAGCACTAACAAACGAAATAAATCTAGTATCTGTTATAGATCTGCCTGTTTTTAATGTGCCTAAGACATGTATCCAACAATATTGATTGTAGGCAACCCAAAAATAAAAAAAAAAACGAAACAAAAATTCTATTTAAATGAGAAACTAATAAAAATATTTTCTTTTGCCTTTTCCATGCCAACGATAAACAAAAAACAAATATATTTGCAAAAACATATAAATCCTTTGACGGACACAGTCTGTGTACAATGGCCCGAAGGTAAGCGTTTTGTCCATATTTTTCTCTTAAATGTTTTATTGCTATTATTACGTATTTATTGCCTGCCGTACTTTCGTTGTAAACTCTCAAATAATTATACACACAATTTAACACCAAGCCCATACAGAGAAGCAATAAGTTATCATAAATGTACAATAATTGACCAGTTTTCGTTTCTGTAAACATACATATAAAGCTACATGTATTTATAAGAGTTTTATCAACGAATTTTTTAGCTCTTAAGCCGAAAAACCAAAAGCAAAAACAAATATTTAGGCAGGGCGCAAATATTGATATTAATTTACGGCCATCGCAATATAAACCCATGTGTAGGTCATCGCTGGGAGGATTAAAGTGTCCAGAGTTCACCAAAATGAAACCATTATAGCGATTGCATTTGTTCGTTATTCTCAGTTTAATTTTTTTTTGCAATCGGCAAATATGTTTGGACAAAGTATATATATTTTTACGAACATTTTCTTTCCTTTAATAGAGATATATAATATGATTTAATTTTTGGTAGGTCCCGACGGAAATTGCGTTAATCTATATAAACTATGCATACAATCTATATATGAATATATTGCTGCAACTTATTTGATAACCGTTTGTAAAACAACATTTTTTTTGTTGTTTTATCATTTATTCTTTTTTGTCTGCATATAACCAAAGTTCAATCAAAGTGAAAAAATACCAAGCAAGCCAAAATTACCAAAACAAAAGAAATTGAATTTGAAATCATAATAAAAAGCCACATTAACACCCGCTCGAAAATCCCGTTTTTAAAGCAGGCCCGTCCGCCACTTTTTTTCTAGTCCTGATTTTATATTAATAATCAATAATGACGAATAATGCTGATGGCAATGACTGAGATCATTATACTGATGGTTATGAGTTTAGCATATTGCGGCTGTGTTGTCTTATGCATACTACCTACTATATATACTTTATATATCAATTTATATGCCAAATATTTTATCTACATATCCTTTTCTTAACCAGTTCCGTTGTATGTGCGTTTCCATTATGATTATGATTATGACTTTTGACTTTGATTATTGTGTATTTCTTTGTTGTCCTGATTTACATTATCGTTATTACACGTTTTACGTTTGGTCTGGTATTCCTTTGGTCTGAACATGTCTGAAATGCTCCTTAGCGTAAACTATTTATACTCGTACTCGTACTCGTAAACTGTAACTGGTAACTCTCGTCGCGCGCCAAGATCCAACCAAAAGTCTAACTTAGCACTAGTACTAAGCCAAAAAGCAACAACAACAACAACAACAGCAACCTCATCATGCATCCCTCGAATATGTATATATACTATATTAAAAAAAAAAAAAAAACAGAACTCCCCCACGCACACACCAATAACACTTGCATTCTAAGTTCATTTTACTGGTGACCAGCAAAACAAAAACATATTGAAAAAAGAAAAAAAACACAACTTATTTGAAACCTGTATGCCAAATCCAAGGTTATCGCCTGCCGGTCGCCGCCTGGCCGTTCCTGGGCGCCCCCGTCGGCGCCGGAGCCCCCACCCTCACCCACCTTCAGCTGCCCGTCTCCATGCAGATGGCGCAAGCGCCGTCAGCGGTCGCGACCGGTCCGGCGGCATCGCCCGCATCCGCAGCAGCCGCCGCCGCACATGCAGCGGCTGCAGCGGCGGCCACGCCCATAATGCTCGCGCCACGCCCACCGCACACCGCTGTCCAAGCAGCAGCGCCCACAGCAGCAGCGCCACGGCGGAGGTACGACGACCAAAGGTGTACCAAAAAGGATTCTCGATACGGGATCCTTGGTGAAAAAGTGCGCCTAAAAGCAGAATTCAAAAAGCACAAGACTAAAATGGATTACTACGTTTATAGGCGAGCAATTTGCACAACATAAATGTTTATAAATAACGCTTAAAGTAATACTGAACATAAGGAGCCATTAATAGCCACTCAAGTAACTTAATCGTAATTGTATAACTTTACAAACTTATTACTTAAAGTTTTGGTAAATATATATCCTTAAAATAACATTTTTTTTATCTTTTAAACACAATAATTTTTTAGCTCTAATGTTCAAGAATCCGACAATACAAACCTATCAGTTCAAATCTCAAGTAATTCTAATAACATAATTTCTAAAAAATTGTTTTCAAAACTATTTTTAAAAATTTTCCGAAATACATTACAATTGATTCGTACATTTTTTTAAGCCTATTAATAATTTAAATCGCAATCCAAATTTGTGCTGGAAATGAAAAGCCAATAGATGCGTGCTTTTAAGCGTAGTAATCGATTAACCGATAAAAGTATTAATCAAACACTGCAACAACAACAATTAGAACCAGAACCAAGATCACCAACTCTTTAGCTATGAGAATCTTTGTACCATAATACAGTATAAATGTTTGTTGTCTTGTTACTTTGGTTTACGCATTTGGGTATGACTATTTGACTATCGATATATTCCATAAATATTGCATACATTTTTGGCGTCCTTGAGATTGCATTGTTCCAACGTCTAGGCACACACACTCACACCAACACACACTCGACCGCAGCAGTATATATTTCAAATAAATAAAACTAGTGGCAACCACCTGAAACTGTAACCGTAACTAGCTGTTAAGAATGGCAAGGTCTTAGCTTTAACCATAGTCTAAATTCTATATCGTAACAATCGAAAATATCGTAATGTTTATCGGTAGCGAACATTTTGCCGAAGCAAGCATTTTTCGTAAGGCCTTTCTCTTAGAGCATAATTTTCTAGCAACCATACTTCTCGTACTCTTTTTGTTCTCTATCCAACTATCCCGCCTACCTTTATTTCTTGTTTGTTATGGGTTTTACTCTTGGAATTTGCACGATTTCCGATTCCTTTGTGTTTGTCTATTTAACTTGGCTTTGAACAATTGAAAAGAACACGCATTCAATTTGCCAATTAAACCCCCAAAAAAATTGATTTTCGCATGACACCTAAACCACTCCAGAAAGTTATTTTATTTCTTTGATTATTTTGTTGCCAAAACATTGAGTTTGTATAGCCACGGAAATTAGCAGAGAATTTCGGCAAACAAATTTCATCTCATATTTGCTGAATATTTTCTATAAAATTCTTTGCCACACACAGACGATTAAGCTTTAGTCCAATAATTTGCATACAAATATTGCAAATCGAATTTTTAATTGCATGTCGGTCAAACAAATTTTCAATTTGTGGCGCAATGTTGCCAAACGGAGTGCAAACGCACTCCCATTCGTAGCCCCAAAATAATTTCATACATATCAATTATGATTTGTGCTCTGATTTCAACGAAAAATGACAAATTGCTAGGCATACCTGTGGCCGATCATAATGAGCAGGCTTTCTGGTTATCGTTTGGCTTTTCTGGCGAAATTGTTAATTATGAGGCCTACCATTATAATAAATTGAGTGAAAAAACCTAGTGGAATTATTCAAAGTACGATATTAAAATTGCGGCATATGTGGTCCGTTCACAAATTAAATGCAAATTAATTGAAGCAAAAATTAAACTGCAAAACACTTGCAGACACATATTCTGTTTTTTAATATGAATTATTCAGACCAAAAATATAATAACTAAGGGCTTAAAACATATTCTGAAGAATCGTTACTTATATCACCAGTCTGTATTTTTTTTTTCAAATTTACCTGTTTTAATTTTTTACTCTGTCTGCATGCAAATAAACCCTTTTCTTTCCAAAACCTAGGAATAGATTTTAATTCCGAAAAATGAATCCTATCCTCTCCAAATAGGCCTACTTGTTCTATCATTCCACTTAGCACTTGGTAAATGTTCTTGCTAGTTTTAAATGTGTTTGAAAGGTGCAAGGATTAAACATAAATTAAATGTATTTTATTTATTTAACTGCTTTTAACTCCCTCACAGACACACACAGCTAAATGCAATGAGTTGTTGAAATAAAAAGGTCTTGCCGCATACGTCCACATATGGATGTATATATGCTATATACTTCTGTACTAAAAATCGGTCCAATGTTTTTTCGTATTGTTGATGATAATATCTCTATATATATACAATTATGCAATATAAAATGCAACTACTGCGTAGCATTTCTTGGTAATTCAGTGTTCTAATGTTTAAGTATGTTCCGATATAAATCCCATTTACATATGTATGAGCTACACGTATGTCTTATGTATTGTTATATGTATATATCAACATCATCTCAGCGCTATGAATATATACCAAAACAAAAGTCGTTACTACATAATGCCTAGATTTGCCATATACTATATATACTATATATAAATATTTACTTATATATCAAGAGAGAAAACTAACCGCATGCGTTTTATGTTCTTTTCTTTTCCTTTTTCTACTTTTTGCACACAAAACACACACATAAAACCAAATCAAAAAAAAAAAAATATATATATATAAAATAAAAATACATAAATATAAACAAAATACACTGGTCAAAAATGTTGTGTCAAATGGTTGCAAAACAAAACAAAAAAAATACATATAAATCCCAAAAAAATATACGAATTTCCGTATCGGTTCGGTGATTCCTGCAGCCGCCGTTGCCGCCGCAATGCGTGGAGTGGCCATCCAGCGCGGACAAATGGGCGTGGTCGGCGCCGCACCCTATCATCATCCCCATCACCCGCATCATCATCCGGCGCTGTTGGCGGCCTCCGCCGCCGCCGCCCAACAACAGCAGCAACGCCAACTGGCCGCCGCCGCCGTGGCCACTGCAGCAGCCGCCCAACAGCAGCAGCAGCAGGCTGTTGTCCAGCAGCAGCAGCAGCAACAAGTTGTGGCCGCCGCCCAGCAGCAGCACCAACAGCAGCAGCAGCAGCAACAACAGGCGGTGCAACAGCAGCAGCAACATCAACAACAGCAGCAGCAACAACATCAACAGCAGCAGCAACAGCAACATGCCGTCGTAGCCGCCGCAGCTGCCGCTTCGCATCCGCACATGCATGCCGCCCATGCCCACGCCCACGCCCACGCCCTTGGCCCCCAGTTGGCGCAACTCCAGGCGGTCGCTGTGCCGTCGGCCGCCAACAGTGCCGCCGCACTGCAGCAATCGCTGGCCAATGCCCTGGCCCAGAATCCGAGCGGCAATCCGAACGCTGCCCTAAACGCCGCCTATGCCGCCCGCCTGTCGGCGGCGTCGGGCGCCACACAATCGTCGCAATCGGCCGCTGCTGCTGCGGCTGCTGCTTCCATGGCCGCGTCGGCCAATGCGGCCAACAATGCGGCCGCTTTGCATGGATTCGCGCCGTAAGTAGAGTCCGCCGTGGACTTCACTCCGTCACACCCGCGATCCCGCCGTAGTTAGTCAGTTGTAGCTGTAACTTTGTACTTTTGTTGGTTCCGCTGCGAATGTAGTTTTAGCGCACCCCAATTTACAATTACCTGTTTAATAGTTAAATACTACGTTTATACGCACGCCTTCTCTTAATTTTATAATCAAAATTCAAAACGGTTCACATTTCTTTAATTTGTTGTCATTCATTCATTAGTCAGACTTTAAAAACAAACTACAGTAAATAATTTCAACCATATTGAACATTTTTTAAAAGAATGTTAATAAATATTTATTGAATGACTTATTCAAAATTTCACCCAATCCTATAACAAAATTTGTATTAAAATCTAATCATTCTTGAATGACAAATGAAATTTTGAAAGAGCTTTGAAAACATATTTATTTAAAATTATTTTTTTCGATATTAAAAACATAAAGAAAAAAACATAATTTTTGGTAAGATTCTTTTTATATCAATTCAAAGGAATTATCAAACAAATTTTTAAATACAGTTAATTTATGGCTGTCGTATAAATGTAGTTATATTCATAATTTGTAAAATTACTTCATCAACCTCATAGTTTCTTTTTGTGGTTGTCTTGAATGCAATCACTCAAGAAACCTCTCTCATCCTTCATGATTTTAACCCAAAGCTTAAATTGTTTATAGCTTAAAGATTGTTTTTCTTTCCATATCTCTCTGTGTTACTCTAATACTTATACGTCTCTATCTTGTTGGTGACAAATGTTTTTTAGCTATCTTGTGTGTGTAAAGTTTTAATATCGCATATAATGAAATCTAGACTTTGACTTATTTTGTATAAATCCAGCAATAGAAGAGTATAACGAACCGAACGCAAACTGAATACAAAACTGCAAAATCAGCAACCGATTAACGCACGCTAACACACACATCCACGTAAACTACCTAAAACTCAATATATATATTATATACACACACACGCATATACTTGCTCATACTCTGACTGACAGAAGTGTGTTTTTGGCATCGTATGACTACCTTATTATCGTTATTTTGGTTAAGGGACCTACTCGGTTGTATATTGTGTACCACTAGGCGTATGATGAATTTCAGTTTGAATTTGAATTGAAAGTGTTTTAATGCGACTGCGTCGCTATATGCCAGCGCCTTGCGTGCATGTTCTGCCCCGACATTATATATATATATATATTTTACATAGACCTTTGATTAACTTATTTTTTTGTGGCTGCTCTCTATACACACACACTCACCCATATATCCAATCTCACAACATAGCGTACGAATGAATGCTCCATTAAATATTGTATACCATAAACACACACTTAAAGACATGCCAAATCAAAGAAGCAAAAACAAAAAAAAAAAGCATAACTAATTAACTAGGTGCATGAGTGTCTGTTTTGTCTAAAGATTAAATGCAAAATTGAAGCAAGCAAGACAATTTTCGTAGTGTTGGGGAATGGAATGACCCATGTATGTGGTTGGTTGGTTGGCTATCTTTGTACTCTAGTACTCTATATAAACGACAATGTCTTAACCTTTTAATTTCCCCTTTGTTTCGTTTCCTCTGTCTCAAACATTTCCTCCAATCAGTTCGTCATCAAGTGGGGAATCAGGTCAGATCAGGTCAGTTTAGCACAGGCTATTAGCTAGGTAGGTGGGGTGTTCAACTCTAGGTGCCAACTTTTGTTTTTCAGTTGCCCCTTAAGTTCCAGCCGTTTACCCACAAAAACAGCATCCGGTACCAAAAAAACAACAACAACATTTAATAAAAACCAAACCAAAAAAAAAAGAAAAATACAGAAACCGGATGTGGATAAAGTTTTATTGGCCAGCGAGAAATATTTTGCATTTCGTTCTTTTTTGTTTTGTTGAATAACAAGGAAACTTTATCCCGTCTGGTTTTTCATAGCGCCGAAATCAAAGACCACACAAGTGCGTTAAAAAAATGAACCAAAAGAAAATTTTTGAATTTTGCTTTTAAGTGCCATAAATTGGGTGAGAGGCAGGAAATCAGAGGAATATTTTATATATTCCTCTGGCTGGCTGCCTCTCATTTAACTCACCTACCCAGACACGACCCTACCTTGACTACTTTATTAATATATGGTCTTCTCTTATCCATCTTGCTCCCAACGCAGTGTATACTATGATCCCTTCTTAGCAGCCGCTGCATCCGCTGATCCGAATCTACGCTTCCAGGTGAGTTTCGTACAGCCAAATATTAGTTTATATACAATAATATGTAGCTTTAAGTGTACTCTAGGTCTTTAGGAATAAGTATAAAGCCTAGGCTAGAGCTTAATCGATCCCCTAACTTGCCACGAAAATACATGACAAATATTATATAAATCTTACAGGCAGCCAAACCGGTCACTGAAGTTCCAGCCGCTCAGCCAGCCGCCATATTAAATGTAATAAAACTTTTTCAAACTAATATCCTAACCACAACCACCAAAAAAATTAAGAACAATTCAGTTTTAATTTGTATATTTTTATGGTAGCTTGTGAAAGACACCGTTTGAGTTTTGAAACATTTGACTTGGTTTTTGGAAGAAACATTTTTATCTACTACTCATACGTATATTGTTTTAAGTCGCTTCCTTTAAGTTTTCTTTTGCATTATCCACGTCCATCCTGAACTAACGACGCGTCCTGATTTCTTGCTGTGTAACACGTTTCAGTTGAGATCGAACTTGGTAACTGGTCGTATATCACTTTATTTACTTGACTTAAGCTTAGCTAAGCTTACTTAACTCAATGTCTGAATAACAGAACACTTGTGTATAAGCTCTCTACCATATAATTGCATCCTTTGTTTGGTTTTCTTTTTAAACAAAAATTCAATTAGTGATCACAGGTGGCTTTACAAAGCATACGTTCTCTTTGACTACTTTAAACTATATACATTTTAAGTACTTCTGCTAGTTTTCTTAATTTGTTTCACAATTTTGCTTTCGCTAAATAATAACAACTACAAACTATTTATACAATAAATATTTACTATTCAATGCTGTAAACATTTTGTAATTACTACAAATTCTTCTTTGGTTATCTTTCACGACCGTTACAACATACTCAACTCAACAACAACAACTACAACACAATTGAAAAAAAAAATATAAACTGATTGAAAAACAAAAACCATAAATTACAGCGCCGCACTGTGACTACGCTAAACAGTAACCCACATACGATCAACCGCATTCCGGTTCCACAGAATGTTTTGGTAAAAATAATCATATCTAGTTCTAGTCCATATCCATGCACCTAGATAACCCGACTTTCCGTTTGATTGTTGTCTCATTTTTGCGTTTTGCTCAATGCCTCTTTGTATGCACCATTTTTAAAACTGTATGTCTATGCCTTAAGTCTTAAGTTAACCCTAGCAAGTAATTCGATACGATAAGTTATTTACTGGTTCGTGCCACGCTTTTCGGTTTTATAGCCTGGCATCTTGGGTTCTTCGTAGCTCGGTTCAAAAAGGTACCCATCACCTGGCTTAGAACTTTAAGTGTATATATAGAATACTTTTAACCACACTACTCCACAACTTGTTTGCACCCGTTTTTGGTTTTGGTTACAATATTTATATTATTATGTGTGTATACTTTTGGCCTCCACCGGTTTGGGTTCCTAATTTCTCACCACACTTGCTCTCACCGTCTCCTCCGCTAGTCTTGTCGTTTGCCGTTGTCGCCCTACAGTATAAAAAAAAAATATTTAAAAAAAAATACAAAAATAAATCCCAAACCCCGAACTGTAACTGCGTCTGTTCCTCGAGTCGCCGACCTCATGTTGCCCCAGTTTAACGCCCCATTTGCTTACCATTATTCCAGGCCACTGCTCCGCTGTTAAAGACACCGCTGTCTCAGGCCCAGCAGCAGGCGTACGCCACGGCGGCCACCACCTACACGGCGGTAGCCGCTCGGGCCGCCTATGGGGCCGCTGCCGCAGCAGCCGCCCAGCCGGCACTCGCCGGCTACGCCACCGTAGCTGGGTAAGTTATATATCCCCGATCTCATCAGCAGAAGAGGTTACCTAAGTGCACACTTGGAAAACAATTTAAAAATCAGGGAAATTTGTACTCATATCCTTAAATAAGATATAAAATTGATAAAGAACTTAATAATGGCACACATGGCCAGTAATTCAAAGTCACAAGATATTAATTTAAATCTGAAGTTAAAAAATTTTGTTTAAGGAAATGTGTTCCCTTATTCCTTTTTTTCTAAGTGCAACGCTTGGTCAGCACAACCAAAACCCAGTATTAACATTTTAATCATAAAAGTCCCATTTACCTTACGACGACTTCAGTTGGACCTTTTTTTCCTTATTTTCCTTAGGCCTAGGCAATTAACCATTAATATTTTAAATTGTTCTTAAAGATTATATTTTTAATGAATTTAAATTTAACCATTTAAATATTTGTACATTATTTTATATGTATATATAAGTAACTTCTTATATTCCGTGTATTCATTTTTAATAACTTTATAACTTCCTTAGATTTTACGTAAATAACAGCAGTATATAAATGTTATTAAAAAATATATCATATAACTAAATATTAAGTTTATGATTTTGAAATTATGTATTGTATTTTGCGTTTTATTTCTTATCAGTACATATTTTATGTTTATTAAGCTATAAAGTAAAATTTGTTTATCTTAAAGCTAACCTTTAGAACTTATCAGCTTATTTTATTTATATTTATTTCCAGTATTTAATATTTATAATATCAATTCCTTTGTTTTTGTTTTCCCTTTTTATTTGAAATTTGACTAATAATTTAATTTTACCTCTTCTTTTTGTATAATTTGACATTAAATGTGTGTAATTGGGTAAAGTTTAGAAATCTAACACCGAAAACTGAAGAGCTACAACTGTCGATTGAAGACTTTTGCAAGACCCTATCAAAACTTAATAATTTTTATTAAAAAATTAAAAACCATAAAAAGGAAGTTACTGGTGCTTAATTAAAATTAACATTTAATTAAGCTATATCCGACTGAAATCATCAATCAACCATTCCATATCATTAACAATAAGAAAAAAATCGTCAATGAGTATTATTAATAAGCTGAACATACGTCACACAAATATTTATAGATATGCGCGCGAATATGCAGATCCTTATCTAGGACATGGCATTGGACCAGTTCCTGGATACGGGGTAAGTTTTTATAAAATTTTGTAAACTATTTATAATAATATGTAACATAAATGACTCTGACTTATGCCTAACGATTTTTGTATTCTATTTCACTAAACCTCTTAAATTTCTTTATTGTTTATCCCATTTTTTTTTAATAGGCTACCATGTATCGCGGTGGATTCAATCGTTTCACGCCATATTAAGAAAAATCTACGCCAGTCAGCCAAATAATGCACTTGAACTACTCTCGATGAAAATGCTCAATATATGAACAAAACAAAGCAAATAAGTAACTTAGACGTAAATACTCCTCCCTACGTGCAGTAAGTAGAAGTTACAACTAAACCGATAGATGCAGGATACTCACACCCGACAGCAGACACGGCAACACCAACAACAGACGCTCAAAGTCCTTGGAGAGTTTAAAATCAAAGCTAAGCAACAAAGAAACAAAAAGAACATAAACAAATCAATGTCGTCCAGTAAAAGCAAAAAGCTACACCAAAAAAGAAAAATATACGCCGCTAAATGCAGTTCTATGGAGTTTATATAAGTAAACCAAACGAAAAGTAAAAAAAAAATATTTAAACATAAATTGCAAAATAGTTTTGCAGAGAATGAAAAGAAAAATGTGCTTCATGCGTAGATTTTTACCAGAACAAAAGCTGAAACTTTGTGCGGCAGATCAGAATTTATATATATATATATATATTTATATATATATATATATATATATTACCGACATGATATATAGTTATTATATATAGGCATTGTATTTGTATATCAAAGCAAACCAGGAAAGAGAGCAATGTTTTTAGGTACTTTTCATGCTGAAACATCATCAAAAAAATATATATATATATAAACCTTCGGTTGTTGATTTTAATAACTTCGTTGAACTAAGTTAGTCTTTATGATTTACAAATTATTCTAAAACATTAGCGTTGTAGGATGTAGTAAGGGAAAGCAACAATGCAGCCACGTTAACAAATCAAATTGTATATTATTTGCAAACCGCTAAAGCACAAACAAAAATATTTATTCGTATATACTTTAGATTGATATCTCTAACTTGACTACCCAAAGAATACTCATTTCTGTATTGTACTGTATTGTCAACGAATTTAATTTTAATACATTGCTTGGTTGTTCCTAATTATGTTATATTTTGGCAGCTAAAACCACTCACACTAAACTCACGACTCAATTCGAATTGCTCAAAAAAATTGTAGCGCATAGGTAAATGCAAAAGATCAACACGTAGACATATCCTTGGAATATACAATAATATTTACTTTAAATGCCGCCATAGCAGCAAAGCAACAAACAAAAAAAAAAAAAAAAATTAAAAAAAAAAAACACTAGTTTTAAAAAGTCAAGCTTCCAGTGACAAAAAGCCATTGATGAATGATGTGGAAATCGAATAATAAGCATTAAAAATTACAATTTTTAGCTCTTACTCCGTAGCACTTTCCTTGTGTGTTGTGTAAAGAAACAAAACAAAAACAAAAAAATGGAAAAAAAGAAACGTCGTTTCGGTGTTGTTCATTTTCGGTCTAGACCGAAGCGAAACTTCCCTAAGCAAACTAAGAATTTATTTTATACACACTCGAATCTAATGCACACACAAAACAAAAATGAAACCATGAATCTTTTAACAATGTGTATTTTTCAAATGTTAACGATTAAATGCTCAATGGAAAACATCCAAACAAAAGGAAGTCGTTCTCTATATTGATTCTTAGGCAGCTACTGTCATCAAATTTATACTAGTTGTTTATCAACCATACTATGCTAAACAAAAACAAGCTACTAATTATTGTGTGTGTGTAATCGTGCAATTCTTTAGGTGTTCTTCTTCGAATTTCCTTAAAAAACCTACTACCAATTACTTGAAAAAAGGGATGAAGAGAGGAATGAAAAATTCATCAACTCCAAAGAGCTTCAACTTTGACGTTTATTTTTATCTAATCACTTAGCAACTGTCTCAGATTGTACATATTTACGATGACATATGGTATTTTTCCCTATTCCTCTCAACGCACACACAAACAACACACGCACAGGCTAGGATCCTGGGAAATTGAAGCAATTTATGGCATACTCACATTGTTACCCTCAATATAGGGTACTTCTTGTTTGATTCTCTCTCATGATCATGCATTGATATACTATTTTTACGTTGACATTTTTAAAGCCAAAGTTTATATTTTAAATGATTTTTAGTTAGGTATTAGAGTTTATATGCTGACGACAGACACAAAAGGATAAGTAAATGATTACGAACTAAAAGGGAAAACAATAAAGAAAAACAAATCGAACCCAACAATTGCCAAATTAATCGTAGCTTTCAACTGAATTATAAAATAAAGACGTAATTAAATTTAATGAATTTTTCAACTAGCGCAAAAATAGTTTGCCAAAAAGCCTAGCATACTTTTTGGCCCACCCCGATCACACACCAGAGAAAAAACACAGATATTTGGGTTTGATGAGCAAAAGCAAGAGATAAACCATCTAGTTATAAAGCAAACTTAAATATATTACGGTACGGTATATACATTTAAATTATGAACTCAACTTCCACCGCAAACTTTTAAAAACAAACAAAAAACAAAACAAAGAAAAACACAATTTTTGTCTTAAGCAATGCGTTGAGGAAAGTCAACCTACAAGTAAATTATAAATGCAAACGCAACTCAATCAAACACTGCAGCTATATTATGACATACGATATATGATGTATATGATAATATCTTCATTTAACCCGATCCATTTTGTGACCCCCAAAAACTGTAATCTGTGTAGTTTAACCATAAGCCAGCGCCAGCTTTTGTTTACTTTCACATAGATCAGATGCCTAGGCGTCATATAAAGTATAAATATAAAGTATATAAATATATATTATATGGAAACTCTAATCTTTAATGATGTGCCAAATTGTAAGTTGTACCATTTGTTTTTATGAGCAAATGCAAAACACAAATTGAAATAAAAATATGAATTAAAACATAAAACATTGAAAATAGCATTCAGTTTTCCTCCTCCCGATAACCCGAAACGGAATATGCAAGAAGCCTATTTTGATTTTAAAACATTTAGATGGTAATGGTAAAATATTTTTTAAATTTAGCATTGTGTATAGGAACGGACAAGGCTGCCAAAAAAGAAAGGCCAAGCCGAGCGTTCTCAGGCGCTACCTTACAAAACAAAATTGATAACAGAACCGCAGTGACGATAAACAAGTATTATATTAGCAACAATCGCAGAACAAAGCCCAACCAACAGCAAACACAAGTAAACTTAATATAAAACCCAGCTCAAATTTAAGTTTCTTGACATAATACATACCGGAAGCTATTGAATGTGAAATTTTAATAACAAACATACACAAATTCCGAAACGTATTGGTTTATATCAATTTTCAATTTGTAAGGTTGTGACAAATTGTAAACAAACATAGAAAACAAAAATGAAACATGAAACAAATCCATGGAAAATTGTAATATTGTTTGTGAATGGCAAATAAAATAGCAAGAAGGTTGAAGCATTTGAGATTCAGACAAAATACATTTGAAAAGAACGCCAGTGGGAAAGAGCGAGAAATGCAATAAAAATAACTTTAAAAAATGCAAAATAATCCAAACAATTGTGTTTTCATTTATGTGGGGGGCCAAACATTGCTGACAGACCTCCATAAATTACGGATTCGTGTCCCCTTTTTTGATGCACGAGGTAGAGTTTGTAAAAGAGCATTTAGCAGCACACAATCAATCATAGAGGTAGCAAAAACTTATGGCCTCTTATCCACCATCTACCGGAAACCCTTTAGACGTCTCACACCTCTTAGCCCGGCTCACACGCACACGTAGACGTAGACGTACAAAATTTCATCAATCATCAATTTGCCTTCCGTTAGAGCCCGGCAGTTTTTCTTCATTACTCCAAAACTCTTTGGCACTCGGGGCGTAATTAAAGTTGATGGGGGGTCATTTGCATGCAAGTTTATTACAATGCAACCGCAAACATTTAACACCTCTAAGTCCCACACACATACATCGACTATATATATATATATATAGAACACCGCGACATGCAAAGGCTATTACGTGATTAAATCAAATGGCTCCACCACTTGAGTTCGCCAGCCTGTAATTATACAAATTTTCGCATTTGATTGAAGAGTCCGGCATCCGACATTCAACATGACATTTCTGAGGTTGAACACACTAGCATATAGTTACAGTGGTGGAAAGAGGAATAGAAATTAAAAATAATTTTATTCTTTAAGTCAATTCAAAGTTAAGAAACCGATTTTAGAATTGTGAGTGTATTATTTTTTTATTTTTCTTTTTTAATTTTTTCAGTTTTCTAATAGCTTAGTTTATAATAAATTTGATTAAGTTTTAATATCTTTGCTAAATATTAAAAATAATTATTTTGTAAATTAAAAAATAAACGCAATGGTCTTAAAATTATTTATTTTTGGCGACTTTTAGTTAGATATGGTAATAATGTTTTTTTTGATTTGGTTTGACTAAATCAATAGATGATTAATATAAAGAGTTGCGTCTATAATGCTTTCCAGTGCTGTTGGGTACAGAGCAGCATAGACATGGCTCTGTTTTTAAATGTGCCATGTCAAACCGACAACCGCAGGAAGTAAACGCCTCTTCGCCTCTGGTTTGATTTTGTCCTGCCGGCAGTTTTGGGTTTGTGGCCAATGTGGCCGCTGTGTGACATAATAAATTATGCTGCATGCCAATGATTAATTTTAGATGTATGCGACATGACAGTTTCGGGAGTGTGGGGCACACGCAGCGCACCCAATCGAATGCATACGAAATTAACAGCAGTAACAGTTGGAATTAGCCATCTCCCACTCTACGGGGCAGGCAATCGCAGGACGAAATCTGTGGCAGGCTGCCCATGGGCTATTCGCTTTCTTCTCCCTATCTATCTATCTATCTCAATTTGAACGGCCCGATGGGCCCATGAATTATTACGTGCAATTATTTTCTAATTAATTATTTGACAGGCTAGCGAATGGCAAACGGTCGAGCGGCAATGGCATGCCATGGTGCGATAATTTTTTGGGCACAATTGGCCATTCGATATGGCGCGTAATGGGCGCCACTAAATTGGCCCGGTCTGCTTTCTGATTCTCGCAATGGAATGCGGCCAAAAAATACTTTTTGCTGGCAGCTTGATATAAGAGATACTTAAATATGTAGGCCGCCAATTGGAGCCCAGCTGACTGCCAAAAGAAGGGGAAATGAAGCGGAATAATAGAGAAATCCGGCGATTCAAGGGGAGCTAAGTAAGTCCACCGGCTGTTGGATTATGAGTAATGGCATAATTAAAATGGAAAGAAATTAGCCTGTTTAATTGAGCGCTAGAATATGGTAAACGTTTATAAATAATGAGAAGACTTGCCAGCAAGTGAGCTTAAAATTTTAAAAAGAAATCTTGAACTTCTCGAAATGAAATCTTAGCCTTGTCAACTAAAGCCTATATTCGACTCATATTCTTTAGCTCACAGTTTTTTAAACTTACAAACAAAGCCGTGGTACTCCATTTATCTAATTGTAAAGAGTTGCCACCATTTGAAAGTGTCAAAATTACTCGCGGTCTAATCAAAGCACTTATCATTACCAATTTCCAATCGAAACAAACAGTCCCAAAGCCACCTTTTTGGCAACTCTCTTCCACAAAGCAAACTGCTAACGAGGCCCCAAAACATCGGACAGGCCAACATGTCCGATCGTTGCCACGCCTCCAACAAAACCCCAAGCCACATCACCAATCCCCACTGCACCGAATTGCATCCTGGTTTTGACCGCTGCACAAAAACTAATTACATTATTTCAACTTGATGCAATCAGAGAGTGCGTATGCGTGCCCCCACGACCCCTCAACCCCGCATCGGTTTACCCCAGTGACCATCCGCGTTTCGGTTCAATTGAATGCCAGACGGGGATGTGAAACTAAAAAATACCAGAAAACAATACTGACACGTGATTGACGATGCCTTACCCAGTAATGTTGTAACTCATCAAAAATTTTTTTTGTATTTATTAATATTCTCGAATGATAAACTCAATGTGTTTTTTTTTAATTTAAAAGCCACAAAAATATTTATAATATTATAATATATAATAATAAATCAGATTTATTTTCGCACCAAAAAATATATACACAAATTTGAATAAAAATATATACTTTTTTACATTGGAAAAATGATTTTGCAGTATTGATCAACCGTTGACCAATTACATCACAACTGAAACAACCAACAGAGATACCTTAGAAACTGTCCGATATTTGGCGTATAAAAACGCAACAACGAGAAAAGCCCAGCAGCCAGAGAGGTCGAAATCCTCGCAGGACATGCCGATGCACGCAAATCACTGCAAAAATGCCCATTGGCCAGGGCTGATGACGATGGTATCGGGATAGGTCCTCCGGATGGCGTATTGTTGGACATTGTGGGGGGCTGTGCTTTACGAGGCGCATCGGTTAGATGTGCCACGGGTGTGTCCTGGAAGCGAGTGTGTTGGATTAATGCCGGCAGCTGCGGCATGAACAACCGCCAATAATTCAACGCGCGGCTTTGGGCATAAAAATCGCTGCATCTGCAAACCTGGCTGGCAATTATTTGTTGTTATATTTGTCTGTTAATTGCCGATGCAGCGCAATAAAAACCCACACAAGCACACAAGCAGCGAAATTTATAATTAACAGTGTCGTTGGCGCCTTGTACGTGACTCGAAGCGCGTTTCAATTAAAAGTTTTTAAAGGCCCTCAAGCCCAGATCTCATTTTCGATAATGCAAATTGTGCTGGGGTTGAGGCAGCACTGCACTTCGTCTCCAATAAAAATTGATTTATTTCGCGAAAATTACAATAACATTTAAAAACGTTTTCCCGAAACCATTCAGTTAAGCAGTAAGCTATTTTAAATTTCCCGCATTCCAATACCAAAATAAAACAACAATAAAACAACATTTTTTGTATAGAAAAAATAAATAAAACGGCGCACAAAAATATTTTATTTTGGTTAAAAATGTCACAAAATCTTAATTTAAATATTGAAAGAATTGCTTTTCTGTTTAATATTATTATTTATATACCTATTTAAACATAAAAACTTAAAAAAAACTTGTTTATAGTTTAAAGTACGTTATAAATAAGTAATTTTTTGTAACTAACTAATTTTTTTACTTTCCACCTGAAAAATGCAATACCAACTTGAGCTGTAATTATTCGATAGACTACAAAGCTAAAGGGCAATGTCTAATTAATAGAACTTTCAAGGAACATCTCAAACGCTTTTACCCTTTGACCTCATTTGCGCGTTTAATGAAAAATCCCCTTGGCTTTGGCCTTTGAATTCCGCCTTTGACTTTGCATTTGGGGCATTTTGTGCCTCCTTCGGAACCATAAAAACCACCGGTACCGCAAAATCGGGCAGCAACTGAAACGTAAACGAAATTCCCATGGCTGCAACATTGGCCAACACCGCAAAGGAAGCAACCCATTGCAATGGGTCCATTCGGATCGATTGGAAAGCAAGCTTCTTAACCACAAAATAAATAGCTTGCCTGCCGCAAATCTTGTTTGATTGTCTAAATATTTAGACGGCCAGTGAGGACACAGTAGATTTTCCCTTGTCCAAGCTCTTCTTTTAATCCAAAATGGCACTCAAAGAAACCTGCTTGGACAGAAAACAGTGCTTGCATAACAATTAAATTTCTGTTTGACAGTAAGACTTATAATAAAATTTTTTTTGTAAAAGATAAAGTTTCTTTAAATAAAAGTGTACATTTAATCTTAAACAGTATTTTCTATGGATTTATATTTTATTTTATTATTGAACAAATCATTTATCTTTTAAGTAAAATGATTTTAATTTATTTTTTTGCTTTTAAAAATGCAACTACATGTACTAAAACAAAAAATATGAATCTTAGTTCTACCAAATGCTCTGGGTAACTCTCTTTTGAACACCAAAAATGATGAAAATGTAATGGGAATATCCCTTGATTCAGGTGGAAAGATATTATCCGGGGCTCAAGTGTACAACGCATCATTTGCAGCGACCCTTTCGACGCACGAAGAAAGCCAAGGACAACCCAATTTTATGTGTAATCATTTTCCTATTTACAATCAATTGCCAGGCACTTGGCATCCTCTCAGCCCGGATCGTTGGCATATCCTTGGCCAACTGTTATTGCCGCATCATTGCACTTGAGTCGAGGCAAATCCTCGAACACCTCGACATCGCCTGTCATTTGCCATGCATGGAAACTGTCCGCGCTCACTTGGCCACCCATCACCGACAGCTGTTGCCGGCGTGACCTTAGACGACTGTCATAGCTCAGGCTGCAACTTGCAGTTTTCCCCATTTCCCTACCCCTGGGAGAGAGACTTTTCCACGCCGGAAACTTTCCCTCCCTTGAAGCTGTCTGTGGCGGAATTATGCAATGGCTGCTGGGCGGGTTGCCTGTGCAGCCATTTTTCAAAAATTCAATTGTATATTCAATTCAATTTCTGTGATCAACAACGCCGACATTGACGGCCACGGGGGAAATGGAGCTATTGGTTGGAAAAAGATTACAGCACGGGAAAAGTACAACAC